GGACACGGCGTCGTGGGGCCGGACGGGACACGCTGAGATGGCTCCTGAAGATCGCCAGGACCACCGGATGAGCATTCGAGACAGAAAGGAAATGGTGCTCACGATGTATTATGCCACGCGGCCCCAAATGAGAGAGGTCTCAGCGTCTTTGCCTTGTTTCTGATCTTCCTTTTCCCCTGGTCTGCCTTCTCTCTCCGATCTTCTTTCCTATCGTCCTCCCAGGGCTCGGTCAAGTTGTGCCTGCTCCTTACTCCCTGCACAACAAATGCTGTTAAAGCCACAAAGGGCTGGCTGCTTGATTGCTTGCTTGATTGATCGATCGACTGCTGATGGATCTGTCGCGCCCTCGGCGTTCGGCCTCAAGCTCCTCCCGGAACATCCATGGGCATACGTCTTTGCGTTATCTCAATCTCCGGCTTCGCGGCCATGGGACCGGCGGCAATGGTGTCAAGGTCACCGATCAACGGTCACCAAGCAAACAGCCAACAGCCAACATCTGTCTCCTTCGCTATACGCAATCCGCCATGGTTTTTTTGGTGGGAGGGAAGCGTCTTCTCTCTGCTCATGTCTTGGAGACAAACCATTGTGGGATCATCGAACTGTCCCGTATTGCCACTGCCTTCCTTTCTCTCTGACCATTGTTCTCACTCACTTTAAAACCAAAGACCAACCCAATTTTCGTCACTTTGCTCTCCTTTGCTCTACTTTGGAGACAGTTGGTTAGCTTGACTCGCCCACCCCGGCACGGCATGGCACGGCTTCAACATGACAAACACCACACAACACCAGACGACCTTGTCCACCACATACATGCGTAATGCGTCTCTGTCATTGTCATTGTCATTGTCATTGTCATCAACACCTGCTGCTGCTGTACCTTGATCCGTCGTTGAATTGATTGATTGACCACTCCCCTACTCACCTACACCATCCCATCGTCGTATTCGATTCGACATTCGACATTCGACATTCGACATTCGACATTCGACACTCGACACTCGACACCCGACATTCCGGCCCCCGTGGTCCAATGACATGACCGGTGGTGCGGGTGGCGTGTCTAGTTTCGTCTTCTTCGCGACCGTTCGTCCTCGAGACCATTCGTCTTCTCGATCATACTGTAATGTCGCCATGTTGTCATCGTGTCGCCGTTCTGCTTGTTTGCTCGCTTGCTCGTCGCCGCTGTGACGTGGCATCGCACGGCATGGCATGGCATGGCATAGACAGACTCGAGTTCCGCCTTTCCTCCCTTCCTCCCTATCAACTCACCCCAACCTATCGTGGAACCTTGTGGGCGCATATCAAGGATGGCTTATTGCAGATAGGCAGTGCTCAGTGATAGATCGATTCCGTGGTAATAAGGATCGCCTGACGTATAGCAGTGACAAAACTCAAAGCATAAGGGAAGGATACTTCTCCTGGGAGTAGCGTGCTCTTCCCTCGCGGGTCGCTTCTGCTCTCTTTGTCTGTTTGTGATAGCGCAGTACGTACCATTTGCAACAATCACCCCCTCGAGCGAAGGGAGGGGCTGAATTGTCGACCGATATTGTCACCGTCGTCGTCGTCGTCATTAAGGTATCGTCGCTGGGGAAGCCAGAGCCAAAATCACACGACGAAGCCCAGAGAAAGGAATGAAGGAATGAAGGAAGAAGGATACTGGGCTCATTTCCCATTCGGTGTCCTGTGGCAGTACCCGCACCAGCACCGGGACCGGCATCAGCAAGGAGCAAGCAGCAAGCAGCAAGTAGTAAGCAGTAAGTAACAAGCAACAAGCAACAAGCACGAAGCATGAAGCATGGCCCGGCGGCCCATCCGTCCGTCCGTCTGTCCTATGTATGGCTGTCCGCCGCTGCGTTCATTCGGGATGCCCTGTCTGCCCATATACGCGAAGCCATCTTTCCATCCATCCACGCAGTCATCCGTCCATCCATCCATTCAGTCAAGTTTTGAGGTAGTGCCTAGTGTCAAGCACTGGCCCTCGACGACAACCAACCAACCAACCAACTGGGGATGCGGATGCCGCGGAGGCGGGCGGCGAGGGGGTCGCTCTCGTCTTCCATCAGCACACTGGTTTGCAGAGAGATCCGAAGGAATTAGCATACACTGACACACAGACTGAAGTAGGTGGATGGATGGGGGATCTCCCGCAGCCGCAGCATACACTTACCGTATGTCGAGGTCGTATCTGATTTCGAAGTTGTGCGCTTCAAACTTGCACCAGGTGAAGAAGTGGATGGCCCTGACCCACTGTCTCTCACTCCGCTCCAGCGGCTGGTGGGAGAGGCTCAGCGAAAAGGGCGCGAGCACCCCCAGGCCGACGCGGACCATGTTGTAGTGCCTGATGTAGGCCCAGACGTACATGCGGCGGAACTCGTGGTCGTCGGCGGTGGTCGCCATGGCGTACCAGACCATGACGTGCAGCATGCCCAGTGGGGTGCCCACGGAGTGCATTATCCCACACTTCATGGCCTCCTCGATCCTCATGCCGTAGAAGTGAGCCTGGATGCGGCGGCGGGCCTCGGTCAAGAGCAGGTCCAGACCCTTGTTGTGGGCGGCCAGGAATCGGATGTACAGCGTTTCCTCGTCGGTGGTGTCCTTGTAGAATTTGCGAATTCGGCTGATTTCCTTGTGGAACACCTTTCGCTCCTCGTCGATGTCGAGGTCCTTGGGAGGAAGGTTGGCGGCGGCGAAAGTGACCATTTTGGACACTGGTGAGGCAGAGGGGTTTTGGACGGATCGCGATAACCAAGAACGACGGAGACGACGATGACAATAATGGAGAGAAGAAGAGAAGGAAGAGGAGAGGTTTGTTATCAGTAATTTCAGCAAGGGGGCTTGAGTGACAGATGAGATGGGTATATAGAGGCAGTCGAGCATGTGTAAGCGCTGACCCAGGTAACCATGACATCAAAGTGAAAAGCGCTTGACTTTGGAATGAATGTGAAGTGACAAGTGAAGCCCGAGGGGGGGCCGGCTTTTTCCTTTCCGATCTATTTTCATTTCTTACCCTTTTCCAATCTCTTGATCTCATATGGTGTCAATCAGAGCCGATGTGACGGTGGGTGGGATCATGATTGTGATTCATGCAGTGGGAGTTTTTGAGACCAACCGGATTCATTTCAGTCAGGAATATGGACTCGACTAACAACCACTCGATCACTCGGAGCGTTGGGCAGAGAAAGGGGTTGGTTCCCCTGGAGCTGCAAGAGTGGGAATATTGCAAGACGAATCGCAGACGCCGTGCTGATGGCCGGCTTCTCATTCGCTATGCCAACGCCCATGGCCTGAGCCGAATGCATAAAGCAGCTAAAACCATCTCCGACGAGAACGTCTTCGACCTGTTTGCGGTTGAGTTCAGTGAAGCCACCCGCTCTCGGACCACAGGAGGCTGCTGACTCGAAAATGGAAGCTGCGTCTGCCAACGTCTGCTGCCACCGGCTCATGGATTGGTCGTGTGACTCCTCTGGAACAGACCTTGACTGGTCTTCGCTGAGCTCTCTGCCAGTCGAAGGAGGACCCGTTGATGGTCCTGTAAACCATTACCTCACTCTCTTCCACGCTAGTTGTAGGTCAGTCCAATCCAGCAGAAAAAGTGCAATGTCCCTTCGCATCTGCAAGGCGGCACGGGACTTTGCAAGGAAAGGGGAATCATCATAGCGGACACGACATTTGGGTTCGGTTTGGACCAGGAGACGGACGAGGTTGTGCTTGTTGATGAGGTACTTACCCAAGGCAGCTCAAGGAATTGGTCACAACTCCGCTTACACGCTCGGCCCAAAGCCACGAGAGTTTTGACAAGCAACCCGGCGCGGGATTGGCTGACGGACAGACAATGGCCTCAAAAGCAAACAGGGTGTAGAGATAAATGGCTGAAGATGTTGGTTGAAGCCACTCCATGCAAGCAAGATACCTCGAGGCGTTCCATAGTCTTGACAGGGAAACCTCTGCAAGAGACTTTCCAAGAAATCTGAGGTGGAGGCAACATATAGTAAGTAAGTACATTTTGAATTTCGACTGCAAACACATACACCATGCATGCATACCTGCTGCATTTGGCCTGCATTTCCTGTATCAAAATTTGATCTGAACCGCCTTCACACACACTTGGGTTCCCGCATTTCTAGCCCGCCTTGCGAGGTGGGACACGCGGGTGCCGTGTCAGAGGTGAGTTTCGGTTTGCAGCGTGTTGCTCGTCGATCGATGATGCGACATGTAGGGGGTCCATGTTATATTACTTCGATGACTGAGCTTGCGCTTAACGGATCTCGTCCTCTTCCGCTCGGCACTCTTTCCGTTGTCGCCGCCACATTGCCTCCGTTGCGATACAAATCCCACATTATACCCGGGAGATTTGACTGCGGAAAGCTTTGGGCTCCCGATCGACCTGTGCCGGCGTAAAATGGATCCCAGCGGTGGTGTTTCTGGACGCAGGAGGGGGTGTTGTAGAGTCGCCATTGGGGCTTGGGGCCCGGGAGGGAAGAGAAGAGGTAGCCATACATGAAATGTCCCAGCACGGAGACGAAGGCCAGGCTCGGGATGGAGATGGTGGCTTCCCCGTCGACTGTCGAGGCAATGGTTATGGTATGCGGTTGCGATAAGAGCGATGGCTGTGCCCTGTGTCTATGGTGAGATAGAATGGACCGTGAGGCATAAACCGTTGGGGACTCCTTAAGGCGCCACCGAAGCGAGTAGGGTCTTCCGAAGAGTCCAACGAGCCTGGGGTGGTTCTGGGGGCAGCCCTGGGGATTGCCTGCTGGAGGCCAGAGACGTCGCCATCGCCGCTCACAAAGTGTAGAAGTATTGTGGCCAAATATGTATTGTTTCGCTGTCAATCACAGAGACCTGTGCTCGACTGACCACGACGAGTGACTGTCCACAGGGTCTTGCAACCGACTTTGACTCTCAGTCTGACCAGGGTCTGCGATCCCATACTTCCGCCTTTTCAGCCCACCACGCGCAACATCAGGGAGGTGGGGTGCACCTGGTGGACCGGCTCGGAGATGAACATCAACGCGAAGGTCAGGAAGCGCTCGAACAACGAGGCGGTGGTGAAGGTGACGAGGGTCAGGACGAGGATAGTGCCCGGGTATATCCTGGCGGTCTCGGACGAGTACGGCTTCGACGGCGCCATCAAGAGCGTGATGTACGACGTGGACATGGTCGAGGTTAGGTCCATCATGATGGTCAGGGACGTGAAGACGCACATCATCGCGAGGAGGTACACCAACGACACCGGGGATTCGTACGCGGCCGAGTTCGAGATCGAGGGTAAGGCCACCAACAGCGTCGTGAAGGCCATCGTGTGCATATGTACGGGTATCGTCGGCACCGTCCCCTCGATGAGGGGGATGATCGACCCCGAGTACATAAGTGACATCAGGGCCGCCGACCACGTCGTGATGGACGTCCCGAATATGAACGGGTATAAGGGCCAGTACATGGCCAAGGCCGACGGCGTGAAGGTGTACGTCCTCTGCTATACGTTCGGGTACGTGGTGTGCATGACCGACCCGGAGATGACGGTGTTGTCATGCATGGTCACGATCGACGGCATGAACATGTCCGAGTTGACCAACAGACCCGACGTCGTCGTGGCGGAGATGATCGTGGACGGCTCCATGGTGTACATCGACACCCTGGGCATCGACGGCAGCGCGAAGGCGTCCATGGACACCAGGAGGAACAAGTGCCCGGTCACCACCAAGACGCCGTATATGATCTATAGGAGGGTGTGGGACAGGATGCCGACCACGCTGGAGTTGCAGCTCGAGCCCACGCCCAACGATGGGATCGTGCTCGTGAGCAACTACAGGACCCTGAGGCTGAAGGAGCCCACGGTCGACTTGCTGTACATGGACGACAAGCTGTGCGCGTCCGACAGCGGGGTGATGGTGCCGGTCGCGAACGGGAGCGTGCACATGGAGCAGGGCACGGTATACGAGATGGACGTCGTCAAGATGGCGGACACGTCGATGGTCATGCTCGTGCGCCCGAGGCAGCGTGTGACCAAGAGGATGCCCAACCCCATGGATGTGGTCAGGCGCGCCGTGGTGAGCGCGGTCAGAGACCCGATGATGGACGCGGTTCTATTGGACATCACGGCCATGTCGTTCGCCATGCGCAACCGCGTGTACACCATGGCGCAGTCGCGGGTCCACGAGAAGAGGAAGGTGATCGTCATATTCGGCGCGGGCAGGTTCCAGGAGTGGAGGCAGATGATGGTCAGCGGGTTCTCCTACATAGCGATCGACCCCGAGATCAGCGTCGAGGACCTGTCCAGGCGCATGAAGAGGGCCACGATCATGCCCTACGACTTCAAGAGGAAGTTCGACGACCAGGTGATCTCGATCTCGAAGAGGGCGACGACCGTGCTCTGGGCGAAGTGCAGGTCCGAGGTGTTCATCGACCGCACCATGCCGACGAGGACCATGGCGATGATGAGCATCCCGGCGGTGTTCTCGTTCAGTATCTCGTACCACATCAAGGTTATCAATATGCTCAGGACCGAGGGGGTTCCCATGTTCGGGTGCGGGTTCGTGCACGACGCCATGCCAAGATCGGGCATAGGGCGTGGTCGCGTTACTATAAGGCCCGCGGGGACGGGGAGGATATCGCGGTCGGACATCATCTCGACGTTCGGCAAGTCGACGTACGTGGAGCCGTTCCTAAGTAGGTCCGGGGTACCGGGCCTGGTTTTGGTCAAGGACGCGATGCCCGAGCTATGGAAGACCGTGGATTCGAACACGTACGACATCATGGACAGGGCCGTCATCATGTCTGCGTAATGAACTTGATCCCGAGCGTGACCGAGTCCGACGTGTTGTATATGTACACCTCCGCGAACACCGCCAAAACCAGCATCGAGTACCTAACTATCTTCTCCGTCGAGGGCGGCTTCGGGTACGGGTAGTCGTAGCCGATCACGGTCCTGTTGCAGACCGGGCAGCTGGTGAACACCACGTAGTTGTCCGTCATGATGGCGTCCCTCACGACCGACGTGCAGTTCTGCATCACAATCGCGAGCAGCTCCCCCTCGGACAGCCTGGGCGTGCCCATCCTGTACCTCCCCCTCGGGACGGTGATCGACCTGAACACGGTGGAGAGGTAGTGGTGCTTGAGCGCGGCGATGTGCCTGAGCTGCAAGATGCGCATTATCCCGTACGTGGCCCTGACCGTCCTCAGCTTCTTAGTGGTGTCGGTGAACGTCAACCTCTTCCCGCGCACCACTACGTCCCCTTTCGGCAGCCTAGGGGTGACCCTCTTCTGGTCCTCGAACGACATCACGACCGCCTTCCTGGGCCTGTGCATCTCCTTGGTCCTGAACGCCTCTATGGAGTCGAATATGTTCGTCACCGCGGCCATCTCCCTGACCTGCCCCCCGAGCCCCCTCGCGAGGTTCTTCGTACTGATCAGCATGTTCGGCTTGAACTCCTTGCCGGTCTTCTCGTCGATGATACTGGGCATCTCGTCCTCCGGCACTACCGACGTGACCGTGACCTCGTACGGGAGCAACTCCCCGACGGTGAACTTCAGCCCGTGCATAATCCCGAGCTTGTCGCCGATCCTGAGCACCTTCGAGGCCACGTACACCACCGCGATGGGGTCGCCCGACCTGCTTATCTCGACCTCCAGCACAGTCCCCTCGATGGCGGGCGCCCACCAGTACTGGTCCTTGACGACCATGCCGACCCTGACGTACCCCACGTTCTTGGGCAGGGGATAGTAGATCAACCCGGACCAGGAGAACATCCCGGACTCGGCCAGCTCCTTGGACACGACGTAGGCGTCCTCCGTGTTCAGCGTCCTGTTGACGAAGGCGGTCACTATATACTTGCCCGGGAACACGATCGGAGCCGACTCCGTGGACATCTTCGAAAGCGCGCACATAAACGGGGTCATGACGAGGGGCTTGCTCTCGCCCGTGGCCATAACGGTCGCGTCGCCCTTGACCGGCGTTAGAGATATGGCCTACCTCGCCATCTGGACCCCTAACCCGAGCCTGGGGTCGGCCGTCCACGCGGCGAAGGGGATATACTAGACTATGGAGCCGAAGAACTACTCGGGCTCGGACTCGCGCTGGGGGAAGCGCATGTTGGCGAACGTTATCGTGTCGGACTTGTGAACCGAGACAGTGTCCACTATCGGGCCCTCGTACTTGATATCGTAGTCGTATAGGTCCGAGCTCATCCTCACGACCTTCCACCTGACCGGGCGCACCAACACGCCCGTGGCCACCGAGATGTTAATGAAGCTGAACCCCTGGCTGCGCCTGAACACGTGGATAGTCGGCATGTTGACCTCGCTGTACTTCTTCCACTCGTCCACTATCGCCCTCACGTCCTTCTCCGAGTACGTACTGCAGTACCCTATGCACCTCACGACCCAGTTCTTGGGCGCGATGCCGTTGGGCCTCTTGAGCACGGCGAGGATGCTCGACGCGATCTCGATCGTGCGCCTGGTCTTGATCCTCACCGACACCCCGACGGCCAGCGTCCGCACCTTCCCGCTGGACTTGGAGGACGGGGTGTAGCACGAGTCGAGGAACCCGTCCTGGTCCGGCTTCGGCATCCTCTCGACGAGGTTGGGCTCGGAGTCATCCCCGGCCGCGGTGCCGAGCGAGATCACGGTGTTGTCGTGGCACACGCCGATGAACCCGTAGTTGCACTCGAGGTCCTCCAGGGGCGGGTAGAGGCTCTGCCAGAAGCCGCTGTCCGACGAGTGGTTCATGGCCTCCGTCACGGCTTGGTTGTTGTACGCGCACATCGGGCCGCCCTCGCTGTAGAAGGAGGCCGTGTACAGCATCATGTCCGACACCCTCGACGTGGGGTAGACAGCACCGGGATCGTCTCCAAGGACCCACTTCAACGACCCCAGGCTGGACCTCACGACCGCGTCCGCCATGACGTCCTGGGACACGTCCATGTACTCCCACTCGCACACGCACAACTCCCCGTTGACCATCAGCCCGTGGCCCACGACCGGGGGGTACACCGCCATCCCAAACATGCGCCCCTTGCTGATCCCCTCCCCGTCCGACTCCGGGGTCTCGGATGACGTCGTGACCCTGCCTCTGTTCATCTTGTAGTGCCTCATGGCGTTCCTGAGCGGCAGCAGCATCTCGACGTCCCTCGGGAACTCCCTCAGGAGCGACGGCATGTTGATCGTCACCTCCACCTTCCCGCCTCTGTTCGCGTTTCTGTCCGTCATGATGCTCGTGACCACGGTCGTGTGTGCATCCAGCGTACCTGACCCGTTGGCATGTAGACGTCGAACATCAACACCGGAACCTGCGACCGCGAACGGGAACCTGACGGTGTCCATCTCGACGCACATCCACGTGACGGCGTCCATGATCAAAATCACGAACCCAACAGCGGGCTGAACAGGTACGCGACCATCGTAACCAACATCATGAGGGTCGAGGTCGTCGCCTGCATGATGTGCACCACCACATTGATCATCGCGTACCCGATCAGGAGCGCGTCGATGGTCGTGTACATGTCCCAGGACGCGAGGGTGCCCCTGTTCAGGATCACGGTCTGCGCACGATGCTCATCACGACTGCCTCGTGTTGATGGCGATAACGTGAAGGTGCCCATGTGCATCGGCGTATCCATGGTCCACACCTGGTGCGCCTACAAGAACGGCTGCGAGTACATGACCACGACCCTGAAGGTGAACAGCATCGGCAACGCCTACGTGATCGAGCCGTTGTCGACGATCGAGGACGACACCACCCGGAGCATCACCATCGAATGCCTGTCCAGGGACACGGAGCTGTCCGCGACGCCGTACATCGACGGGTGCTTCTTCAGGGCCGAGTCAGCAACGTCCTCATGACCGAGTTCACGTTCGAGATCACGCTCAAAACCACGAGCGTCACCGCCGGCTGGTACAGCACCAAGAACATGGCCACCAACACGTACAACGGCGAATCCGCGACCATTTGCGCCGTCGGGAGGTGCCTCATGTGCAATGGCATGATCATGAGCTGGCTTGTGGACAAGAGGGAGGCGGCGGTCCTCATCAGACGGAGCAACACGTTCGCGTTGGTGTGGAACATCGCGTGCAGCGTCTGCAAGATGAACCAGAAGACGCCCGTCAACCCGAGCGCGGTCAGCATCACCCACTTGGTCGAGTTCATCGCCGACCGCGCGGGATGCTCGCCGGGGAGGGTGACCACCGCGTGCGAGGGCGCGTGCATCGACGTCCGCACGTTCATGGACATGTTGCCGGACGGCAGCGCCATCATGTACCTACACATGCCCGACCACGGGTGCGCCGTCATGAACTTCTGCGGGGGCAGGAACTACTACACGTCGGGGGACACCTACGACAACAGGGACAGCGACAGCTACACGTACGAGAGCGCGAACGGGACCATGTACGGCGAGACCTACACGGCGTGAGCATCGTGACGGGCCTGATCACGTCCAAAAACGTGCACGCCTACAACCGGTTGTCCACGCACACGCCCATGCAGGCGTTGACGATTATGTGCAGGATCAGGACCACCACGTGTCCATGGTGCTGGACGCCCGGTCGGGTGTCCTACATGCCGTGCGTGTACACGAGGATGTCGGTGGACTGCGTCAGAGACCTGAGCTCCGGCACGGAGACGGTCAGCCGCCAGAACATGTACAGGTGCTGCAGGACGTGCATGACGCTGGACCCGACCTTGTACGTGCAGCCGTCCGCGGGCATCCTCAGGGCCCTGATCGACCTCTCGACCGTGAACAGCCACTTCACCGCCATCGAGGCCGAGTTGGCGATCAGGTCCACCGCCCCGGGCAGGGTCAAGCCGTTGTTCATGAGCATGTTCGTGAGCGTGCCGGAGTTCAGGGACGGCATCCTGCGCATACTCTCGCCCTACGACGTGGCCAGGTTGATGGACGCGGGGTTCACCTCGTACAGGGAGGGCTTGACGAGGGCGGAGATGCTGACGTGCATGCCGATGTACAGGAACCTGTTCACGGACGGGTCGTGGCTGATGAAGATGAACAGCAGCGGGTACACCGTGGTGGTCGTGAGCAGGCACTTGGACAAGTTCTCGTTCAGGAACAACTACCCGCGCAGGTATACGTCCTGCAACAACAGGTGGACGGTGGTCATGCTGTTGGCCGTCGGCAGGAACGGGACCAGCGACGAGGAGAGAATGATGTACGAGAGCAACTTCAGGTCCAGTATCAGGGGCAGGCACGGGTCGTTCGTGATGGACGGGAACGAGATCGTGGTCATGGACGAGGAGAGCATCATGATCTGCCTGCCGAACGCCGTCATGTGGGCGGAGAGCACCACGGACGGGACTCCGACCGTGACGGTGTACATGAGGAGGTGTATGTTCAAGTCCCTGTTCCAGATCGAGTCCCGCGACAGGGTGTCGACCTCGTACACCTACCTGAACGGGCGGATGGAGACCATCATGGACGTGTATCTGTCCAGGACCGAGTGCATCGAGGGGGACGCGGAGAGGAGCGTCTGGAAGACCGAGGGCAGCGGTGTGATCTCCGTCGTGTGCCCGTTCGCCGACCCGCTGATGAACCCGAACATGGTGATGTCGCTGTAGCTGCCGCCGTGGCGGACGCCGACACCACCACGTGGTTGGAGAAGTCACCACCACCATGGCGAACACGAACATCACGACGGGCATCAGGACCAAGAGGGTCACGTTGGCCGACATGGTGACCGGGATCGCCCAGTTCAGGAGCGAGCTCTTCTCCATGCTCTCGGCCACCGAGGTGTCGATAACCGTCCGCGTGTGCAGGGACACGCTGACGCAGACGGAGATGGTGAGGTATTTGAACCCGGTCAGGGACATGGGCATCCACACAAACACGATCATGGACTTGGTGTCGGTGGGGTACGACTGCATCCTCATCGGCATGGACACGTTCGACATCATCTCGAGGATCACGAGCCCGTTCGAGTACTGGGTCCACTCGATGAACCCGAAGACGTTCATGTTCGTGTTGATGATAGCGGACAGGAGGACGGACTCGAACTGGGGCGTGAACGAGCCCAGCGACGTGGTGCTGTACGACATGGAGAGTCAGACGAGGTACTACAAGCGGATCGGGTCCATCAACTTCGTCGAGGACATGGTCGGCCCGAGCCTCATGAACAGCTACAGCTGCGGGAACACGAACCCCATCACGCTCATGTGCCCGAACACCATGGTGAGCAGGTACAACAACATCTCGACCATGGTGGACAGCACGGCGCTCATGCGCATGGACGACCTCGAGTTCATGATCAACAACATGCTGATGCGGACGAACGACAACACGTACTGCACCGGCTACATCAACCTGACCAGGGACCCGTTCAGCGTCGTGAGGATGGACGCGTTCAGGGACGTCGACGCCGGCCGCCGCACGAACCTGTTCATCAACGACGTCCGGCCGGAGGACACGCGCAGGACGAGCATCCAGTTCATATGCATGCACACGAGCATCAACGAGCCCGACGTCTCGCACCGCGACCCGTACATGCTCAACGACATCGTCATCTTCTCGTTCCCGTAGCTGTGCACGCGCGCGATGATGGTCACGCAGATCCCCAAAACCGCGGTCATCACACGCTCACCGACATGATCACGCTCAAGGTCGTGTTGGAGACGGTGCCGGACTTCAGGTTCGGCCTCTACAGCCTCGTGGGGGCCACGTACACCTCCACGATCGAGCACATGGTGTGGGGCAGGGTCACGCTGTCGGGCGACAACATGGTGAGGTACCTCAACCCCGTCAGCGACATGTTCCTGTACAAGGACATGATCAACTCCTCGATCATGAAGGGGTACGTGGTCACCATGATGGGCAAGGACTTGATCAGCCTGGTGGAGAGGATCATGCACCCCATCAAGTACTACAGGTCGGGCAGGTGGATGAACACCATCACGGTCCTGCTGCTGATCAGATACCGGGCCATGGTCAGGGACTACAGCACGTTCGAGAGCTGGCAGATGGGCCCGTTCATGGTGCAGAAGGTGGAGGTGACCAAGTACAGGTACGTGGCCAACCTCGCGGACATGTTGCGCGACATGGAGAGCGACATCATCATCAACAACCGAGTGGACGTGCGCCTGCCGTCCGACAGCTTCAACCCTCTGTACCTGTACAGGGACGGCAGTGTTATGCCGGTGCCGGACGTGGGGGCGGTCCACGACACGGCGTTCGGGACGGGCGTGGTCATGAACAGGCTGCTGGTCGACCAGGTGGAGCTGCCCGCGGACGACGGCACGACCACGCTGGAGATGATGATGATATACATCGACGTGAACAGGGACCCGTTGGTCGCGAGGGTCACCTTCACGTTCCGGCCCAGCTGCGACTGGCTGACCACGTACAAGGCCACGTCCTACGAGACGCTGACGGACCCGTTCAGGGACTTCGAGGGGCTCGAGGCCGTCGACAAGAACACATTGATGATCACCGACACACACGCGTGCTTCCACATGATGCCCTTCATGCTCTCGTGCCAGCCCACGAACAAGCCCGTGGACTGCGGACCTCTTCACGAGCCTCGGCCAGTTCACGTCTCTGACCATCTCCATCACCACGGCGACTTCGACGCCGACGAGATGTGGAGCGACGACGACGAGGTGGTCGACGGGTCCGGCATGATACAAACCTACACCGACGGGCACACGAACGCCGACGAGGACAACCCCATCACCACGGTCGTGGTCATGCCCACGGGCTAGAGGCACAAGGCCTTGACGAAAAGCATCGTGACCACCACCATCATGGCGACCACGAAGGTGACCGTGGACATCCGGACGATCATGGCCGTCGAGCCCATCGAGTACAGCATCTACTACTACCTGGGGGCCACGTACACGTCGATGATGGAGCACATCCTCTACGGCTCGATGACGCTGTCGGACGCGTCCATGAAGAAGTTGCTGCACCCGATGAGAGACATGCCGGAGTACGAGGACTGGGTCACGGACAGAATTAGGCACGGGTACTCGGTACTCCTTATCGGTAAGGACACGCACTACCTTATGGAGAGGATTATAAACCCGATTAAGTACGCGAAGATATACACCATCGGTAGGACGCTCGTGTTGTGGATGGCGGTCGTGGACGTGACTACGGAGTGGTACAGGCGGACGAAGCGCGTGATGGAGACGTACGATACCGGGTTCGGGGCCATGTTCATCAACATGACCAGCAACTGGTTCGTGTACGTGCCCATGATGGAGGGCGTGAACATCTACGCGCCGTGGCACATCAACCCGCGCACCAACAGCGCTACGAGTACGACGTCGGATTCGCACCCCGTCTGGTTCGTCTGCTTGTGCATGATTCTGTTCACCCACACGATGAAGTTGTCCAACGCCGGCTTGGGCTCGGTCGCTACCACCATGTAGACCATGGGCGAGAACTTGCTGATGATGGGACTGTTGTTCCTCCTCGTGGTCGTCCTGATGACCAGGTCGATGTGCCTGTCCTACATCGCGACCGCGGACAGCTGGTCTATCTCGTTCGTCCTGGTCACCTCCATGTCGTAGAAGATGAAGGTGGTGTTCGTGGTCACCTCCATGTTCGTCATCCTCTTGGCCACCGTGTCCACGGTCGTGTGCTCCGTACAGGTGTCGAACCCCGCCCTGAGCGTCATCGCGTTGTACTCCGAGAACGCCGACGTCCTGCTGCACCCGTGCATGGAGCAGGACTTGAACCTGAAGTCGCTCGTGTTCGTGCCCGTGCTCGGGGGCATCCACATGTCGTCGGTGCTGAGCCAGAACGGGTTAGTCCTCCTGGACCTGTGGGTGCGGTCGGAGCCGGGGTTGCTCGTGGCCCTAGTCGAGGGCGACGTCACCCCCATGTCCGTGGTCGGCATCGAGTATGATCAAGATCACGATCACCGCGATAGAGTGGCAGTCCAGCATCGTAGGGATAGTCTCTACACGACTTCGAGTTGGTGCAGGTCACCGCCGTCGACGGGGTCTGGAATACGTGTTCACACCGCACGGCAACATCATGTCGGACATCGAGGAGATCGACCGCCTGATCGATTTCGGGATCAGCAGCAGCACGACGAGCAGGGGCGGGGACGATAACGAGGGTGAGGTCGGGATCGGGAGGTCGAACGTGGTCACGGAGCTGACGGAGGCCGTGATGACGATAAAGATCACTATGGAGATAATGGAGAAGCGCATATCATAGATAGAGCTCGAGATCGAACGTCTGAAGGCTGACGGGCCCGCGGAGAGGCACAGGAACGTCGCGAGGTTGCCGGACCCGGACGCGTTAAGGCACACTAAGTCACCGGCGTTCGGCCTGCGGAGGACGAACACGGACACGACTAAGGACGAGGACACCGAGTCGTTTAGCACCGTGAGCAGGACCAAGAGTGAGTCCTCGAGCAGGATTAGAGATATGGAGGCGTCCAGCTACATGAACAGAAGCCCGAACGCGGCTGTGTTCTCGATATCGTCGCCGGCATTGTTTAAGACTAACTCCGCGACGGCGAATAGGGGCTATAGCAACAAGATGACCCTGTGGGGCACCATATTCACGTCGCTAATGGTTGCCTGCATGACGAAGTACATCCAGGTCACGGGCGAGAGCGGGCACATCATCGACGAGGTGCCCCTGATGAAGGTCTACAACGCCATCGTGCCCGAGTTGTACAGCAGGATCAAGTTCGGGGAGCTACCCGCGGTCCAGAGCCACGAGGCGAAGCTGCTCTCGTAGATGTTCTCGAGGACGAACAGGAACGACGTCCCGGAGACCACCGCGAAGTCGTGGTGGAAGCTGTCCCAGCACACGGACGGGCAGCAGTGTATGTCCGTGATCGAGAGTATATTCACGGCCGCGAAGATGGTGCCGGAGGCGATAATGCACCCCATCTCGCAGTTGGTCATGTCCATGGACCAGCCCGTGGTCAGAAACGGCCCCAACGGCCCGACGTTTTCCATCCCTAAGAGCACGCAGATACCCCTCATCCCGACCAGCATGGAGTCGTTCTGCAGGTGCCTGAAGATGAGCTCGCTCAAGGTCTACGTTAAGTACAGGCTCGCGGGCGACAACGAGGGCAAGACCGTGGCCAGGATGATGGAGACGATGAAGGACACGGAGATGTTCGACTCCAAGAACCTGTACAAGGGCAAGAACCTGCTTGGGGAGATGTCCAGCTCCTAGGGCGTGGACACACTCCCGCCGGTCCTGGTCTTCCGCTCCATCCTCTCCCTCATTATCCTGATGTTGCGCGCGTGCATGCTGCTGACGTCGATCACGGGCGCGTTCTTGCGCACCATCATGGACCTCTTGAAGTCGTAGGACGACGGGTAGTCCGTGTGCAGCTCGGTGACCACGCATCTCTGCATGTTGCTGGACAAAACCCCGATGTGGGGCGGCATCACCTCTTCGCGCGGGTACAAGTGCGTGTCCGCCGCCCCGGGCAGGTTCATGAACTCGGCGTAGCCCACGGGCCCCCTCGACCCGATGAGCCAGAACGCGCTGCTGGTGTCGATCATGGTCCTGAATCTGTCGATAGCCGACCATAGGTGCATATACGTGTTGGGGCTCGTGTTCTGCCACGGCACCGAGAAGTGGTTGACGTCGTAGTTCTCGGCGCTGATCATCCACATAATGACGTACACCCTCTCGCAGTCGGGCGGGTCCGGCAGGTTACGCCAGATAGTGTGCGTGAACGCGTAGAGGCTCTCGTACACCCCCACGAGGTCGTCTAGCTTCCCGGGGCTGATGAGGATGGAGTCCGTGTCGATCGTCTGCCTCTCGCCCACGTACACAGGCACGGTGGCCAGCCTCTTCAGGGCGGCGATGATGTTGTTGCTCAGGGACATGGCTATGGTGACGGTCTAGATCGGATTGTCGTACTCGTCCAAGTCGATGGTGATGTTCTCAGCGAAGCTCTCGGACCAGTCCGCACCGGCGTCGATAGTCGTGACCGCGTCCACGTTCCTGAGCATACGCAGGAGCGTAGTGCTGAACATGTGCATCATCCTGCAGTCGAAGCACATCCTCCTCAAGTTCATAAGCCTGATCATGTGCGTGATCGCGTTTACCACTACGGTCGTGCACTCGGGCTCCTACCTGAACAACGTCCTGATCCTGCCGTTCTTCACGTCCACGACGGCGTTCCTGATCCTCATCACCGCCTTGCCCGGGTCCGAGGCCAGGGTAGTCTCCATGATCATCCTCCTCTCCCTTATCGCGTTGCTGATACTGATTATCGCCGTGGAGTTGGATACGGACATCACGACGGAGATCAATATGTCCTCGGTGCCCATTATCCGCAGGACCTCGTTCAGCTCCACGGACGTGCCCGTCGTGACCATCACGTTGCTCCGGATCTCGCTGGCTATGAGCCTAGTCGTGAGGACGGACCAGTCGACGTTCATATATATGTTAACGTGCGTATTCGCCGTTAGGACCGTGGTGGCGACCTGGTAGAGCTGCTCGCTCAGGGACATGTATAAGGATACGTTCCCGTTAGTGAACACGAATATCTGCATGACCTCGAACAGGTACTTGACGATACCTATATGCCTCCCCGACATCACGTTGAAGCACACTATATTGAAGCTGTCCCTCGGCGACTTCTCGTATATTATGCCGATCTCGATCAGGCACATGACGTCGACTATAATGCTATACACGACCTCGTTCTGCCTTAAGCTCGTCTTCGGCGTTAGGATGTTCACGAAGTCCGTGTTCATCTCCTCGACGGTCGTCGGGATCATAGTCTAGTCGGTGGGCACCCTCTCGTGCGCGTACACGTTCCTATTCTTGCCCATAGTGTGGTTATATCTCTTGCTCTCCCGCGCCATATTGAGCAGCTCCTCGACCGCTAACGCGTCTCTTATCCTACCGTTGAACGTCAACCCGTCTTTTAATATGGCGCCGACCCTATCCTCCAGCCACTTGATCTTCGAGGCGATGCTGATCACGTCGGAGCCGATCACGTTCGTGGACATCTTAGCGGTGATGTTCACCAGTGTAGGTGTAATAGGTTCTTAACGCACTTACGGTCCTACACACGATCACGGTAGCGACGTCGTCAGTATGTACTCCACGTGGAGCTTCGACAGCACGAGAGTTAGCTCGACTAGGCCGAAGGTCTCGACCGGGTACGCGCAGCAGGAGAGGGATAGGAGGACTAACGCCATCGAGCTCGTAAGGACGATAAGGAACGCCGTGATGAGCGAGTTGCCGCCGCTGACGGCGTCGGAGATCCTGTCGATCATATTCAGGTAGAGAGGGGTCCCGTCGCTAGACTCGTTCACGGTCATAATAGTGGGCGCGTTTAGAAGGGCTATGAACTTCAACCCGATCGTGGAGGGGTACGAGCGTAGGTATATACCGCTGGTCAGGTGGGAGTGCCCCGACGTCGTGGCGACCTTATGAACGATCGAGCCGATGGTGTCGAGTACCATCATCAGGGGCAACAGTATCGACGTCAGGTACGCGCACGACATATACTCTACGGAGCTGGAGTGTATCGAACCGATATCCATGACCACGTATATCACTAGCGTTAAGCCCGACAACGAGATCTGGGGTAGATGGGCCGGGTGGTTGGTCTGGCGCGCGTCTAACGACCAGGGCTGGCTCGACTCCGTGTGCTCGAGCTGTAACGTCTCCTCGTCCCTGTTCGCGGTGAGCTTGCACATGCCGAACGCCAATATAATCCACCTGGTCATGACGCCCGAGACCATCAACATCCTCGCGATCCACGCCGGGAGTATGGCCACCAGCATGAACGTGACCGTCACTATGTCCACGGGCTCCTCTACGAGGATGATCATCCAGCCGGCTATGCGTATCGGTAGGAACACGTCCCTACGCCTATTCGGGAACGGGTCCATGCACTTCTGCGGATCCCCGAACGACATCGAGCTTCTATACTCGGCTGCGTACAGGATCGTGAAGAGGGTCTTGGAGACGGACACGCACTCGTTCCTGTCCAGTATGAGGATCATGAGGCCGAACATGGTCTAGGTCACGTCCGAAAACATGATCTGCCAATGACGGTGCCCGTGGTGATGGTCGCGCTCATGTTCTTTTTCTGACCCTGTAGACGATCATCTTCACGTCCGGCTACTTCGTCGTGATGGTCGACGTCTTCCTGCCGCTGGTGGCGCCCCTGAGGTTGCCGCTGGTCGGAATGCGCTTCAGCTCGGAGTGAGGACGCTGTTGATGGCGACCAACATGTCCAGGGGCCCGTCCACCCCCACGTTGACGGACAACGCCACGGGCGCGTCCATGTCCCCGAGCACCCACGCGGGGCTGGGCACGTTCACCAGCACGGTCCTGTTCACCGACAAGTTCATCATCCCGTGGCTCATCAACTGCAGCCGCATGTTCCTCGGCGGCAACGTGAACCTCATCCTCCGCGAGTTCATGCCCACGCACATCTCGACGGTGATCGAGATGGTCTTCGTCAGGTCCACCTCCAGCGCCACGCTCCTGCCGATGTTCGCGTCCATCTGCACCACCACCATCGTCACCATCACCGCTGTCGTCGTGGCCGTCATGTGCCTGTAGTTGGTCGTGACCGTGCACGTGGTCGCGAACGTCATGATGGTCGTCATCGTCGTGCTCGCCCCGTTCTACTGCACCATCGCGTTGACCCTCATGCTCATCACCGGGTGGCTCATGACGTTCGTCGTCAGGATGCTGTCCGAGAGTCGGAGCCGATCCCGATCTTCCTCTCGATCCTGACGGTATTGGTGATCCCGGTGCCGATATGTCGCCGTCCAAGAAGATGATGCCGTGCCCGGTCTTGTTCCTCACCTCGGTCACGCCCAGGTACGAGACCCTCACGACGTGGATGATGTACTGGACGACGTCCTTATAGTGGTTGTCGCACTCGGGCTGGGTCGTGACCGTGTTCATGCCCTTGCACGTGTCGCAGAACGTGAACTTGAGGCTGTTCCTGACGTTGTTCCTGTTGCTCTTAGCGTGGTTGTGCAGCCACACGTTGACGGGCGTGTTCGGGTACCTATTCGGGTCGTACTCCTTGCACGCGACCAGCACCGGCGTCATGCCCTTGCAGATGACGCAGGCCTTGATCAGCCTCTTGCACATCTCCGGGTGCGGGGCCGTGCGCGTGGTCAGCGCGCTGGTCCTCACGGTGTACACGATTTTGTCCGCGGTCACGATCAGCGTCGTCTACGTGTTGATGGTGTTGTTAAGGAATAGGTCGGTCAACGCGAACATGTACGACGTCGTGATACTGACCACGGCCGGGTTTATATTGACCGTGGCGTACTTGACCCTGACCCTGAACGAGACCAGGCACGAGGCCTCGCCCCTACCGATGACCTTGGTCATGCCGCCGACCCCGCACGCGGTCCTTATGATCAGGTCGTCCCCGGACTTGGCCGTGTAGATGAACTTGGTCCTGGGTATGTCCTTCAACACGCCCCCGTTCGTGTCCATATTCAGCCAGCAGATCCCGTCCCTGATCTCGCCTACGCGCCCGCACATGTTCAGCGCCGCGTACATCTTGCTGAAGGCGCTCATGGGCAGGCCGATGCGCACGTAGGTCGTCGTGTGGCTGATAATGTTCTCGGACGGCAACAAGACCAGGGCGTCGGTCACGACGATGTCCAGGGCCACCCAGCCGTCGATCAAGCCCACGATGGACACGTCCTTGTACCCGACCGACTCCCCGTGCCCGGCCCTGTCGAGCGACCAGTTGGACTCCTTGTTCATGAGGCTGAACCCGATGACGTAGCTGTCCGTGACGAGGTTCGAGAGGTACCCCGGCTCCATCACGTCGTTGGCGTCGCCCTCCCCCACGCTGACGAAGACCCCGTTCACGTCCGGGTGGTTAGTCTTGAGCGCGACGGTGTCGGTGATGTCCATAATGTTCCTGTCACGCTGGCGTTGATAGTGCCGTTCGCGTGCTTTTTCAGCTCTGCGCCAGGATCATAGCTGCAGCCGAGTGCTAGTACGAGCTCTCGATGGCGTCCAGCAGTATGAAGATGAGCTCGCCCGAGGACATCTGCCTGATCTTGACCACGACCATGCACACGATGATGTTCTTGTCCGAGTGCTCAATTATGTCCCTCATGGTGATCGAGCTCGTGAACACGCCGTTGTGCCGGTACCATATGCTCCCCATGGCCACGTCGTCGTCGTCGAGTATGTCCCACTTCAAGGTGATGCAGACGATGTCGTTGTTCGAGTCGACGGTGGTCATCTCCACGGGGATGGGCGGCGACATGGCCGCGATCGTGGACGTGATGGTCACCAGGGGCACATAGGCCGACAGGGTCCTGGGCATGTTCGTGCGGATGGACGGCACCCAGTCGGGGATCACGATGGCGCAGTTGGGCATGGGGAGCACCCTCTCGGCTATCATCCCCTCGTTGGCGTTGCTGTTCATGGTCGAGTGCGCGGTGATGTCCATGATCGTGTCCGGGAGTCTGTCCGTGCTGGTCGCGGCGTCCGTGTTCAGCGTCAGGCACACCTCGTGGACGGGTGCGTGGTCAGCGGGCTGTTCTTGTTTTGATCGTGCGCTAGGCCAGCGTCATGCCCCTGTACGTGTCCATCATGCCGTTGATGTCCGTGTTCACGAACTTCTTCGTACCGACGCCGGTCAGCGAGTCCGTCCTCGCGGGCGGGGTGATGTGCGTCTGCACGAACGTGATGACGTTCATAGGCCTGTCCTCGGTGTCGTAGTGGATCGGGAACCCGTACTTCGCCCTCTCCAGGGTCAGGTTCGTCATCCCCATATCGATCAAGTTCCGGTAGAAGCGCATCACCGGGGGCACGTCGCCGCACACGTCCGTCGAGTCGCGGATGCCCATGGCCTCGTTCTCGACCACGCAGTTGCCGCAGAACAGGATCTTGACGGAGCCTGTGGGCATCGTGCCGTACCAGTCCATGTGCGTGTACCAGAACTTGTACGAGTGCTTGGTGATGCACATCCCGGAGGACCCGCCCCTGCACATCGACACCGTCTCGCGGCTGTTGAGGCACTTGTAGCAGATCGTGTACTCGCAGCGGCACATCTCGGACCACATGGGGGTGTGCGCGTACAACTCGTGGTTTTTGAACATCATCACGTGCGGCGTGGCGAACGTCAACATACACACGTGCGTCTACGCGTCCACCGCCGCCTTCATCCACCAGACACAGTCCGTGGTCTCGTCCATGCTCTTGAAGAAGGCCACGGTGTTCTTCCTGTCGATCCGCATGCCCCTGTACGGCCTCCCGTTCACGGGCACCTTCACGGTGATGTCCAGCGACCTCCTCCTGTTCATGAAGTTCACGATCTTCGACGCCCTCAACATCTGCATGGCGTTGGTCAGGGACGTGTCCGCGCACAACTCCGGCTCGCTCACCAGGCACACATCGCACAAGATGGGCACGACCAGGATCTTCAACTCGTACGACGGCTCGTGCTTGGCCGCGATGCCGCGGATCGTCTCAGTGATGGACATGCACATGTTGTTGCGCGGGCACGAGTCGATTAACTCGAGCGAGTACAGACAGAGAGTGCAGACCGTGAACGTGATGTTGCACATGTTGATGACCGTGACCAGGTGCGTGCGCAGCTGGCCGTTTTGGTCAACAACACCTCCGTGTTCGCGCTCATCTACACGGTGTCGGCCTTGGGCGTCTAGGGGTCCTTGTGGCTGGTCAGGTCTATGTTCAGCTCCGTCATCTTGGTGCCGTCCGCCGGGCCGACCAGGTAGACCGTCAAGTTGATGTTGAACGCCGCCTTCAGGACCGCCTCCTTGATGTCGTCCGGGCTGTCCCTACACATCGTCAACGCCGTCATGGACGTGTTGTCGCCCACGCAGTCGGTGTGGCACGAGACGATGATCGTCTGCCTGTTGATGCAGTCGCTGGGCGCGAAGAGGACGATCCCGGGCGCCTCCTCGGTCCTCTTGTCGCAGGGCCTTCAAGGGCTCACGAATGCGTTTAGGAGAGGTCTTCGAGGGGAGGAGAAGGATTCGGTCTGACTGAGGGCGATTCGAGGGGCGTAAATAGACTGTGAGCCGTGAGCCCTTTGGGACTTCTCAAGGCGGCAGTGAAGCGAGTAGTTGTTCCAATGGTTTAATAGGCTTCAAGGTCGTTCTGTTGGTGGTCTTGAGGTGATTCTGTAGGTGATTCTGCATTCAGGAGGCGATTCTGGGATGGTCTTGGATGTGGACCTGCGGGTGATTCTGCATCCTGGAGATGGCCTTGGAGGTGATCCCGTGGGCTACCATGGGGATTGAATGCCGGGCACCAGGAACACCACCATCATCGCCCACAAAGTATACAGGTACTGTAACCAAGTAGGTACTGTTTTGTTGGCTGCCCACTGGGTCTTGTAACCAGCTTTGGGTGCGAGTCTGACCAGGGTCTGTGATGCCGCAGTTCCACCTTTTCTTTGCAACGCCAGCAGGGCCTTCAATGGCTAAGGATTGCATCGAGAAGGGAGCCTCGAGAAGAGAGGATCACCTCTAGGGCCACTCCCAAGGCCTTTCTTGCCACAGTTCCACCTTTTCTATCCCACGCCAGCGAGGTTTTCAAGGACTGAGTATCACGTTGAGGAGAGAGCTTCGAAGGGAGGAGAAGGGTCCGGTCTGATCAGGGTTTGTAAGGTCAGAGTTCCACCTTTTCTGTCCAATGCCTTCAAGGGCTGAGGATTGCGTGAAGGAGCAGGCCTCGGTCTGACTGGGGGAGATCTAAGGAGCATGAAATAGACTGTGAGGCGTGAGCATTGGCACTCCTTAAGGTACCAGCGGAGCCAGTAGAGTGTTCCCAAGAGTTCAATGGGCGTAAGGGTCGTCATGGTGGTGATCCTCCAGGCCCATCCTGCATCCTGGACGTGGCCCTGGAGGTGATCCTGCAAGTGATCATGGAGATGATCCTGCAAATGGTCCTAGGAGGGGTCCTGCGGATTTCCTGCTGGGCATCAGGAACGGGACCATCGCCCCTAACAAAGTATACAGGTATTGTATCCAAGCAGATATTGTTTTTCTGGCAACCGCAGAGCACTGAGCTCGGCTGACCGCGACGAACGGCTGCCCACGGGGGCTTACCACGCCAACTTCAATAGCGAGTCTGAACCGCGTCTGTAATGGCAGAGTTCCACCTTTTCTATCCAATGCCAGCAGGGCCTTCAAGGGCTGGTGATTTCTTCGAGGAGAGAGGTTCGAGAAGAGAGGAGAAGGGTTCGGTCTGGGGGCGATTCAAGGAGCGTAAAATAGACTGCGAAGCGTGAGCCCACTGGGATTTCTCAAGGCACCATCGAAGCGAGTAGTCTTCCCAAGGGTTCAATGGCCTGAGGGTCGTCCTGTGGGTGGGTCTTGAAGGTGATTCTGTAGTTGATTCTGCATTCAGGAGGTGATTCTGCGGTAGTCTTGGAGGTGATCCCGCAGGTGATTCTGCATCCTGGACTGGCCTTGGATGTGATCCTGCGGGCGATCTTGGGGATTGCCTGCCGGGCACCAGGAACAGCACCATCGCAGCGCACAAAGTATACAGGTATTGTATCGAAGTAGGTATTGTTTGTTGGCTGCCCACTGGGTTTGCAACCGACTTTGGGTGCGTGTCTGACCAGGGTCTGTGATGCAGCAGTTCCACCTTTTCTGTCCAGCGCCAGCAGGGCCTTCAATGGCTGAGGATTGCGTCGAGGAGAGAGCTTCGAGAAGAGAGCTTCGAGAGGAGAAGAAGTGTTCGGTCTGACTGTGCGCGATTCAAGGAGCGTAAAACAGACTGTGAGGCGAGAGCCCTTTGGGAATCCTCAAGGCGCCAGCGAAGCGAGTAGAGTCTTCCCAAGGGTGAGTGGGCCTGATGGTCGTCCTGTAGGTGGTCCTAGAGATGATCCCGCAGGTGATTCCGCATCCTCCATGTGGCCCTGGGCGTGGTCTTGAAGGTGATCTTGTAGGTGATCCTGACCGCGGTCCTCAGGATTGGCAACCGGCCACCAGGAACGTCGCCATCGCCGCCCACAGAGTGTATAGGTATTGTAGCCAAGCAGGTGTGGTTTTATGACAACCACAGAGACCTGAGCTTTGCTCGACTGACCGCGGCAAATGGCTACACTGGACCTTCTCACGCCGACATTGACTGCCAGTCTGCCCAGGTCTGTGATGCCACAGTTCCGCCTTTTGCGTCCAGCGCCAGCAGAGTCTTCAGGAACTGAGGATTTATTCCGACGAGTGCTTCGGGGAGCGTTCTGCGAGGAGACGAGAAGGGTTTGGACAAACTGCGAACCATTGGGAGGCCTATGAAGCGGTTAGTTTCACGGTTCTTCAGCCCAGCAGGCAGGGGCTATTTGGAGGAAGGGCATAGGCGGGTTGGATGTTGCCAAACGAAGCGGTTGAGACTGCTGAGTGAATATTGGATGTCGTGGTGGCGGGGTTTGTGGATGAAAGCCGAGTTGGAAGCGGGAGTAGCGGCATGAGATGGTAATAACATGCCAACAGAGAAAAAGCGCAGTGTCACGGCCAGGTGGTTGCCATGGTTACTCCGCACAAGGCTGGCTTCCCCACACGAGGTTGCCCAGAATGCGCTTTTATTTCTCGTAGGGCAGCCGCCACCACTGGTTACATTCCTTCGTCTCAGAAGTCATAACACAATTGCACCCTAACAGTGTCTTTTTT